AATTTCTATCAGAGTGTCAGCAGATCTTGTATTCTGCAATCTTGCTGAGCTCATTTATTAGTTCTGATTTTTTAGTGGATTCTTTAGAATTTTCTACATGTTATATTAGTCCCCATCTACAAATAGGGATTGTTTTACTTTTTCCTTTCAAATGTGGACGTGTTTTAAAGTGTTGTATTGAACTTTTTTACATATTATATTGCAGGAATGGCTCAGGATCTATTGACAGTTAATACTATCTAAAATCAAAATGGCACTAGCTTCTAAATTATTCCCTTTCTTATCCCTTTCCAATTCATCATTTTTACTGTGTTAGATAAGGTTCTCCAACTGCAAGCCACATAAATAAATCCTTGATAACTTAAGCTAACATTTTTTTTAAAAAATTATGGAATGCGGGTGGTGTCTGTGGCTCAAAGGAGTAGGGTGCCGGCCCTGTATGCTGGAGGTGGTGAGTTCAAACCCAGCCCCAGCCAAAAACTGCAAAAAAAAAAAAAATATGGAATGCATAAATGCTCACAATTTGTACTATCTTTGTGTTACTTGGCTCAAGATTCAAATTTAACAGTATCTGATTGTCCAAGCTTAGACCACGTGCTGTTTGGATATACTATGGTGATGAAAGGAAGGACTTGGTGGAAAATATCTTCAGGAATATTTACTTTTTTTTTTTGAGACAGAGTTTCACTTTGTTGCCCTTAGTAGAGTGCCATGGTGCCACAGCTCACAGTAACCTCCAACTCGTGGGCTTAGGCAATTCTCTTGCCTCAGCCTCCCAAGTAGCTGGGAATACAGGCACCCACCACAATGCCAGGCTATTTTTTGTTGCAATTTGGCTGGGTCTGGTTTTGAACCCACCACCCTTGGTATATGGGGCCAGCGCCCTACCCACTGAGCCACAGGTGCCACCCAGGAATATTTTCTTTCTACAAAGCTGTTAACAGTCATTGGAAAATCTCTCTAGATGACTTGGGATTCATTAAAAAGGGGAATTGGCTTGGCGCCTATGGCTCAAGCAGTTAAGGCACCAGCCACATAGACCTGAACTGGCGGGTCTGAATCCAGCCCAGGCCCACCAAACAACAATGACAGCTGCAACCAAAGAATAGCTGGGCATTGTGGCGGGCACCTGTAGTCCCAGCTACGTGGGAAGCAGAGGCAGGAGAATTGCCTAAGCCCACGAGTTGGAGGTTACTGTGAGCTGCTTAAGTGTGACAGCTTAAGGCTCTATCTGAAAAAAAGAAAAAGGAATAGATCCTATGTTACTCACCATGTCAAATATTCCCTATAGCTCTTTTCTAAAACACAAACTTCGTATCACTTCTAAAGGCCTCCCTGGATACTCATTGCCTACAGGATCAAGCTCTAAATCCTCAGGCCGGGAACAAAGGTTCTTCAATTCCTAGCCCTTAGCTTCATCCCTATTCCAGTGCAACTGAATATTTGTTGACTATATCAGACCATGTGTTTGAAGCTGAAAGATAAATAAGCATGCTTGCCTTGAGAAATTCATAGTGTAGAGAAAGATCAGTGGTGGTAGGACCGTCTCAGTTGCTCTACATGTCCAAAGCAGAGTTTACTTGCAGTAATTGTAGGGTGATATGGAATCACTTCATCATAGATGTTAATCCACTGCGTTGACTTCTGATTAACCCAGTTCTGGGAATGCCTCTAAGATTTTGTTTTTACCTAAATTTACTGTAAGTGCTTCCCTTAGGCAAATTCCTTCCTAAGCGTGTATACCCTTTCTCTAATGTATTAAGCCCAGGGTCTGGGGTATAACTGTGTGGGCCCCTGGGATATGATTTCTATCGGATTGAGGTCGATTGCAAATTCCTGTTAAATATTTCTTTTTGAGGAACTGGATGTATCACCTTTCTGCAGACTCAGCTCCCTCGCCTTTGAGGACAGATTTATGTAAATCCTGACTTTTTCCTATTGCCTCACTGTGGTTATAAACAGCACCAACCTCCTTTTTTAATGTCAAAACTTTCAACATTTAGACAATAAATTATAGGTCATTCTAATAATAATACAACTACATATTCTCAGTTAATTCTCAGAATAATTATGTAAAGCCTGTTAATGTCCCAACAGGAATAACACAGTACATTCCGATTGGATAATTTTTTTTTTCTTGAGACAGTTTTACTATGTCACCCTGGGTAGAGTGCTCAGGTGTCATGGCTCACAGCAACCTGAAACTCTTGGGCTTAAGCGATTCTCTTGCCTCAGCCTCCCAAATAGCTGGGACTACAGGGGCCTGCCACAACACCCAGCTATTTTTTGTGGCAGTTGTCATTGTTTTGCTGGCTAAGCCAGGTTTGAACCCAGCACCCTTGGTGTATATGGCTGGTGCCCTAACCACTGTGTTACAGGGCTGAGCCCATATTGGATAATTTGAATAGGGTTTAGTAAAGACTATTTGCAAAGGAATAGGCAAGATGTGGGAAAACTATAAGGGGCTTCTCTGGGTCACCCCAGGGAAGTAACTGACTTTTGGTTGGGGGATGCAGTCAGCTGGTGCTGGTGCCTGGTGCCCAAGTGAGGGGGCCTAGGGGCATGAGTATTCACATTCCTCTCCCTGTTCTGCTGGGGTTGCTCCCCACTGCCTGAGCTCAACTGGAATCTAGAGAAAGAAAGGCCACTGAGTTCCGGTGGGGAGGGGCAGAGAGCAGGATGGAGAGTGGAGCCAGGAAACAGACTATGTCCTCCATCACCACACACTGTCCCACGTAGAATGAAGAAAGTCTAACTTGCCTGAGGTAACAAGGCCAATCAGTGGGGATCTAGCTGAAGTGCTATATTCTCCCCACCCGGCCACGCTCCCTCTAAGGCTCCTGCACTCCAGCAATGCCAGACTGCCTCCAAAGCCTCTGCACTTCTCAGATGAGAGGCTGCAATTGGCGACTTTAGAATGAACCCACCTGGAGTGGTGCCTGTGGCTCAAGGAGTAGGGCGCCAGCCCCATATGCTGGAGGTGGTGGGTTCAAACCCATCTCTGGCCAAAAACTGCAAAAAAAAAAAAAAAGGAATGAACCGACCTACCCACTAAGGTAGGGAATTCACACTCTTATTATCAGCCAAGTTTACATCATAAGCATTGACAGACAAAATAAATTTTAAAAACTGAATACGTGAACAAGTAGATAAAATAATTCTGCAGTCTGGTCTGTTCAGTGTAACACCAAGTGGAAAGAGTTCCTTTACAATGGCCTTTACATCCTGTGTGCAGAGTGCCGAGCCCTATTCCTGGGGCTTCCCTGAGGCCTCTTCTGCTTGGGGAGAGTTTCATCTTTCCTATGGGGGAAAGAACAAAATGTCCACATACCAAAGCTGCAGAAGAAAAGTATTTCTGTCTCCTGGTCCGCGCAGCACCCATTCACATGTAATCTTGATTCAACACTTGTGGAATGAACATTTGGCATAAAATGGTGGTCCCTAGTCTCAAGGGCTTTGAAGTCTAGAGGGCAAAAATTGATGATCAAAACCGAACAGGTTAGCGCCTGACAAGTGTGGGTCAGCCTACAGCACGTGCAGGTTCCACGTGGGCGCCCCTCACCCTTCAGGCTGTGCCACCGTGGTCCTGCCAATGGAATTCGGCCTAGGTGGCCTTGAGCCCCTGCCCATGTGCCAGAGCAGGCCTGATTCTGCTCCGCAGCAGCAGCCCAAGCCGAGCCAGAACACTATTAACCCTTGGTGTAAGGCTGCAGGCCTTGGAGTCTTAGGCCCACCATAGGTGGGACAACAGCAGCTGTCTGAGGTCTCAGGTCAGACTCCGGGGCGCCTGAGTCCAAAGAGTCGTTGCTTTTACCTAATTCAGAAGGCTGGTTTTCCCTGAGGGCGGAATCCGGTGGGCTGATCACAGCGCTTCACCTTCTCACCACTTTCCCTTCCCTCTTCCTGGTTCCACGCCAGGTCTGGTTATCCTTAATCACCTAGTGGCCGGGGGTCTCTCTTGCCCACGAGGGGCCGCGGTAATCTACAGCACATCTGACACAGGTCGCCGCCCAACCAGGGCCTGGGCGTTGCCCCACCCCGCCATTCCGCTCGACACAGACACGCAGTAACACCCCAACATCAGTGAAAAAAAGAAAACCACCTTCCTCATGACAGAGGAGAACCCAGTTCCACACGGCCGGACTCCAGTCTGGGGCGGTCTCCAGGGACTCCGCTCGCAGCGCGCCCCAGCGCGCACGGCTCAGGTTCGACGGGTCCGTCTCCAGTTCCTGAATAAAGTCGCCAGATCCCCACGTGTGACCCCTCCATTTACAGCCGGGGAGGCCTTGGCCCCTACGCCCTAGAGCAGCCAATAGCTGCTTTAGCTCTTCAGCGGAGGCGGTTTTCTTTTCTACCTCTGGAGCGGGCAGTGAGTGGCTGGGTCGTCCGCGGCCGCAGATACTACTGGCTTTTCCTCGCCAGTGTGGTCCCCCATTCAGCCTCCCGCTACAGCGACACCTCGTCGGTGCCAGTCTTTTGGTCTCTCCCTTCTGAAGGGAAGCCTCTTGGAGCGGCCACTCTTCCCTTGTGGGGGCCCGCCCAGCCCCGTCTTGGTCACCAGCCGCCGCGCTGGTTGTCCACAGCCCTTTCCAAGCCTGTCCCCTGGGTGGGGCATGCTACTTCGGGGCCAACGCTCTGGGGGATGCTGTCCCCGCGTCCTGTCTTCCCCCAGCCTCCCTTCTTTCCCTCGGCAGCCGCCCTAGCTACTGGCTCCGCAAAGCGCGTGGAGGGACTCGGGGCCGGGACCTCGGCGCCCAGGCTTTTACTCGGATTCCAGCATATGGCGGCGTGGGGGTGGTGGCCGGCGCGCGGGCTGGGGGCACCGCTGTGGCGCGGGAGAGGGTAGCTGGGGGGCGGGCAGCTGAACCCCAGGAGGCCGAGCCCTGCGGCAGAGGCCGGCGACCCAGCTCGGAGCCAGCCCACGGTCCTTGCTGCCGCCGCCCGGGCCCGGGGCGCCCGTTCGCACCCCTGCCCGGGGAAGCGAATGGTGCCTTCCAGGCGGGTGGCCATGTTGCTCCAATAAAGCGGGAGGGCGCGGCGCGGGGGGAGCAGATGCCGCTGGCTGCGAGCTGGACTCGGGCGCGAGCGGAGCGCGGCCGCGAGGGAGGCGCGGGGGAGGCGAGCCGGAGCCGGAGCGCCAGCAGCAGCCGGTGTCGGCGGGGAGCACCCGGGCGAAGCCGGAGCCGCAGCCGCGATGGCCGTGGCCGTGGGGAGACCGTCTGTGAGTGCAGGGGCCTCGCTTTCCTCACCCGCTGCTCTCGATGCCGGGGGGTCTCTGCCTTGGGGCGGGCGCGGCGGGGATCGCGGGGAGCTGGCGGCGGCCGTGGGTGTGTGCGTGAATTTGGGCGCGCGTCTGGGGCAGAGGGACGGGTGGGGAGCCCAGAGACTCAGTTACTACGTGATGCACCGGCGCACCGCCTCGGCGCGCCCCTGTTCTGGGGATGTGGACGGAAAAGGACCCCTCTCCCGTGCTCCTTTTTAAAGGATTCTGTTAGCCGCGGCGCTTCTCGGCTCCTCTGCCCGCGCACTCTCGCCTCGTGACCGTGCAGGGCTCCCCCGCGCCGTGGGGCGATCGGGGCGTGGGAATTGTGAGCTGAGTGTCACACGGCTGGAGACGCGGGGCGAAGGGGTGGGATTTCCGTGGTGGCTTCACCAGTGTATTGTGAGACTCTAGGACACCCTCAGGCACCCCCGGGGTGGCCGGGCCCTGCCCAGGATGTGGACAAAGCCCTAGATACACCCAAAGTTTTCACAAGGCTCCCTTGTCGGGTGGGTGGGAGGACTCGCATGCCCGGCGGCTGGAAGGCCGGGGGCGGCGGGGACGCGAGGAGGAAGGGAGGGCGGGTGCGTGGAGGACCGGGTGCCCCGCGGCCCGGAGGGAGAGCGGCAGGGCGACACCCCCGCCCCGAGTTTGCGGGCCGGGGCGGGGGCGCCTGCTGGGGCGCAGGACCGGTCTGCCCCTGGGTCCCGGCGGAGGGGAGCGGGACTTGTGGGTGCGGCTCCCCGGCTGCTCCGCATCCCCGAGAGGAGGGCGGAGGGTAGGGACGGCGGCGGCCTTTCCTCTGTAGTGAAAGGAGCGGAGCTGGGTGGGGAAGGCGGAGTCCTCTTTCTCTTGCCCCTTTTCTTTGTCGCTGTTCTAAGTCTGCTTTCGCCTGGCCGGCTTTGGGGTCGCCTCGGGCGAGGACCTTCCCCTGCCTCGCACCTCCTCTTTCTTTTCTCCTCTTCCCCTTCTCACGGCTGTGCAGCTGCAGGTGGTGGCTTGCGAGATTTTGCAGCAGTAGACGGAGTCTCTCGAGGACCCCAGGAAGGCCAGGCTGTGCCGAGACTCCCGCCCTTCCGTCTCTCTCCCCTACACGCGCACCGTTCGCGCCCCGCTCCCCCGCGGGAAGTTAGCGGGCTTCCTCTGCATGTTCTAATTGAGGTTGGTGGTGCGGCTGCCCGGGTGTTCCCAAAGACATTTTCCAGGGTCAGAAAATGTGCAGTGGTCAGATATCCAAGTGTAACTGTCTTTTAGGCCTTTTAAACTCTACTATTTAATGACACTTCTTAAGAATTCTGGTCTCCTCTTGGACACAAATTGCTCTTTGATAATTAGTGGTCATAGATTTTTGTTACTGAGGGAATTGGCATAGTTCTGGGCTAATCCCCTTATTTTCTCATACGGAAATGGAAGTCTATTGAGGTCAAGTTTATGTTGTTAAATTATTCTCACAAACCTCCTCCTCCCCCCAAACTTATTACCAGGGCACAGATTCAAAGAACTGAAATAGTAAATACCTACTTTACTGGCAATCGTCTATCCACCCATGCAAATAATTTTGTAGGGGTATGTATCTTTTTAAGTGACCCCTATAGCTGGTGCATTCTGGAGGTGTGGGGAGAGGTGAAAGAAATTTTTTGCTGCTCATTTTCTATAAGTTAGTTCGTATAGTTTAGCTAATGAGGAGGAGTACACAGGTTTAAGATTAGTTGTGTGGCCATAATCATATCCAACATCAGGTCTGCTGACCATATGTGAGCTTAATCCCATGGAATTCTTGTGTCAAACTTCCTTCTTTAATAATAGAGACTTTTTTTAAAGTATGTGGGTACAGAGGAGGTAAGTACTGTCTGTACACTCCTGTTTGTCACTGGAATTAAGGTTACTTTCAATTTAAAAACAAGACTTTTTAATTGAATTGTGTGGATGATCAGGAATTGAGTACAAAGTTGAAATGTCTTTTAATATACTACAGGAAAAGTGTGATCACATTTCCAAGGAATTGTTGAACTGTTTCACTTTGTTCATTGAGTTATTGTCTTAAGTGCAGTCTGTGCAGTTATGTCTTCAAAACGGAGCCAGTGAGTGCAGGAGGTTCTCCAGATCTAGCTCCAGAGGGTCTTCCCTGTATCCTTAACATTAGAATCCTCTGCCCTTCCAGTCTTCTTTTCTGTTCTACTTGAAAACAAAAGAAAGGGTGTGTCTGGTGAGGGTAAAGAATCACCCAAACCTGGTTTATGTGCGAAGGGGATTTCCCTAGTTAGAGTTACTCACTTAGAGTCAGATTTTTTTTTTAAAAAGTTGTTTAGGAAAACTCTACAGAGCTTATCTCCTTTCCCTACAAATTGCCTCTCCCATCCAGAATGAAGAAAAATTTTGTGTGAATAACTTGCCCTCAGTTTTGGACATCCTTTTTTGGGGGGGGGGAGGGAGACAGAGTCTCACTATGTCACCTTCAGTAGAGTGCAGTGGTGTCACAGCTCACAGCAACCTCCAGCTCTTGGGCTTAGGTGATTTGCTTGCTTCAGCCTCCTGAGTAGCTGGGACTACAGGCCCCTGCCACAACACCCAGCTATTTTATTTTGTTGCAGTTTGCCTGGGGTGGGTTGGAACCTGCCACCCTCAGTATGTGGGGCTAGCATCCTACTCACTGAGCCACGGGTGCCGCCCTCGCCTGGCTGTTTTCTTGTTGCACTTGTCATTGTTGTTTGTTTAGCTGCCCTGGGATGGGCTGGAACCCACCAGCCTTGGTGCATGTGGCTGCCCCCAAACCAGTGTGCTGCTGGTGCTGAGCCAGGTTTAGACGTTCTTGAGTGGGAACATCTTAGTGTAATATCCCAGGTAAATTACGACATTTTAATGGGCAAAAAATGCTTGCCTTTCGATCACAGCATGATATGTCTTTTTTTTTGAGACAGAGTCTTACTTTGTCGCCCTGGGTAGAGTGCCACAGCATCACAGTTCACAGCAACCTCTAACTCTTCAGCTTAAGTGATTCTCTTGCCTCAGCCTCCTGAGTAGCTGGGACTACAGGCGCCCTCTACCATGCTGGGCTGGTTTTTCAATTTTTAGTAAAGACAAGGTCTCACTTTGCTCAGGCTGGTCTCAAACTCCTGAGCTCAAGGGATCCTCCAGCCTCGGCTTCCTGGAGTGCTAGGATGAAAGGTGTGGCCAAGTACAGACAATTCTTAAAGGTAAATTCTGTTTTAGGGTTGGGGGGGTAGTGGCAGGGTGGGAGTACTGACAATCAAATGGTATTTTCCCTTGTAAAATTGCCATGTCTGTGACTTGAAGATGTAGTCCCAGATGGAAGGGTCTGGCTGGTTTCCCTGGAGAAAGATTAATGGACCCATCTGGATGATAGCAAGGACTGTCATCTATGGGTGAGTTTTAAGAATTAGAACCCTTTAGTCAGTGATATAAATTATATAAATCGAGGCTTTATTAAGGAACGCAAGAAGTGTTTGAGAAGTGGTAATCCCTCCTTTTAAATATTTTGAAAGCTGTAGATTAATTTTTTTATCTTTTTAAAAATGATATGTCTATATATTACAATGAAAAATAGAATCAAGAAATTGGTTAAAAGGACAAAACTATCCATACATATCCCACTATTCTGATACAATTGCTCTTAGGTTGTTAGTGTATTTTCATTGGCTTTTTGAGATTTACATCCACAAATATAACCTACTTTCTGTAAACTTCTACTTACAAATCAAATTGTGCCTGCGTGAACCTGTCTGACCCATTGAACTCTCATAGTGGGGGACACTGATGCTTAGTGTTTGGGCATGGCCACCCTGTATCTGCATCCAGACAAAGGGATGAATGATTTGAGGACCCTGTTCTTCCCATGATTTGGATGGCCTGCTGGGATTGATTGTGAGAAGACCAAGTATTTGTTATATGGAGTGTGCCACGCTGACCATGGGCATCAGATTTAGACTCTGCGCCTGTGTTTCACTTTATAGGGCCCTAAACTTGCTTGGGGGATAAAAGCTGCTCTTGGATTTTACCATTTTCTTGGGAGCTGTCTTTCACAGTCTTAGCTAGACCTGTCTCAGCTGGGCAGCAAAGCTGAACCATTGTTTAAACAAAACCCAGCAGACCTAAAGCTCCTATTCTTTTTTCCAAGGAGATCTATGTTACAATATAATTGATACCTCCTTGGTTTTGTTTTGTTTTAAATCTAGATTGACAGAAAACTCCCTTTCAGCTAAATAATCCCTCCCCTGACCCACTCAGACCCTGCCGGCAGCCGCCCGTGCAGCTGCTGTTGGACATAAAAACGATAATTGGGCCAAGGTGATAAACAGACTTGTAAAAAGAATTTTCTGGACGACCTAAAATAAAGTTTGCAGCATCTGAGGGTAGGCCTGAGAATAGAGATCGGGAGTCTGTTCTGTTGACTAAAGGCAGGCTGCGGACCCACCTGTTTTCAGGATTGGTGCCGTGAGTGTGAGTGTGAGCACGGCACACACTCACGTCACGCACAGTGTGTGGGCACCTCTGTCCACCTGCGGAACGGCAGCTACGTGGGATGAGTGTGATATGTTGGCAGAAGGGACAGGCTCAGGTGGAGAGGTAGGAAAGACATCATGTTTCCAAAGGAACATCTTTGGCCTTTCTTTTCTTTTCCCCTCTTCTTCTTCTTTTTTTTTTTTTTGTGTGTGTGTGTGTATTTTTTATTGTGCAAAAAGGAAAATAAAATATGTATAGAACATAGCATAAAATGTATCTGCTTGTTTTTGAGAGGTAACATTCCTTTGGGAAGAATTTATGATTTTCCTCCTAGTTTTGTTCTTGCAGAAGGGGAGAGTCACAAGAATATAAATAGGTTAGAAATTGAAAAACAGAGTAACCCTCAGCACCCCAATACCTCTGTGCTCAACCTTGGCTTTCTGAGCCGTCTGTTTTATCGGATATTTTGTGTACACTGGCTCTGCGTGGGTGCTGAGGTT